GGCCACCCCCCCCCCCGTGCTGAGAGTACCACTCACGGACCTCCTGGGGCGACGGAGTGTGCTGCTGGCCCTGGCCACCGCCAGCGCCTCCACGACCACCACCGCCGCTACCACCTCCTCGACCACCCCAACCCCGGCCGCCGCCTCGTCCACCGCCACCCCCACCACCTCCTCCGCCCCGGCCACCTCCCCCGCCGCTGCCGCCACCTCCCCCACTGCTGCCACCTCCCCCACCCGCGCCACCCCCCCCGCCACCACCACCTCCCCCACCACCGCCACCCCCGCTGTCACCACCACCGCCCTTGCCCCCCTTGCCCTTGCCGCTGCGGCGCCCACTCGAAGCAGACGCAGTCCCGACCTTCTCAGCACCAAGGAGGTCGACAGCAGCAGTAGAGGCGACAGAGGGAAGAAGGGGGGAGGGAGAACACCCCTCAAAGAACGGGGTACGGGGGTCACCGCGAGAGGCACCTACAGCGACTATGCTAGCCTCAGCTGCAAGCAGTTCCTTCTCGAGGAGGGCAATGGTGAGCTCGGTGGGGCAGCGAGCTAGGAAGTGGTCCCTGACTGAGCGCAGAGTGTCAGGGAGGCGCGTGACTAGGTGGTAGAGAGTGAGCCAGAGCGGGGGTGGGTTCTTGGCAAGGAACTCATCAGGCATAGCGGCGCGGAAGCGAGCCTCACTAGTGCGGAGGTGGGTAATGAGATCAGCGACAGTGTGGAAGGAAGCTAGGTCGGGGAACAGGTAGGGAAGAGAGAGACGGCCTAGAGCGGCAGAGGCCGGCGAGGAGTAGCGGGCAACGACAGCAGTGTACAGTGCCTGTGCAGTCTTGTGCTGCCCAAAGTGCTCGCGCTCATCTATCGGCAGAGAGTTGCGAATAGCGAAGCGAGTATGGGCGTCACGAGTCTGCCACTGTGAGCGGGCAGTGCTGTCAGCAGTAGCAGCAGGAGCAGTAGCGTGGCCTAAGGCATGATCGTACAGCGAGATGTCTTCCTTGGCAGTGAGCTGTAGGAAGAGGTGTAGGTCATCAAGCCAGGTGTCGAACTTCACTGGGCGGCCCTCAGTATCGAAGGCTAGGACAGGAGGGCTAGCCATGGTAGCAGCAGTAGGAAAAGCAGTAGGAGAGGTAGGGCGGCGCGGCTCGGTACAGGTAGGGCGGCGCGGCTCGGTATAGGTAGGGCGGCGCGGCTCGGGTCGGGCGGCGCGGCTCGGTATAGGTAGGGCGGCGCGGCTCGGGTCGGGCGGCGCGGCTCGGTTCGGGCGGCTCGGTTCGGGCGGCGCGGCTCGGTTCGGGCGGCTCGGTTCGGGCGGCTCGGGCCGGTTAGCTTGGTTCCGTTAGGGCTGGGCGGCTCGGGTCGGCTCGGTTGGGGCTGCTCGGTCTGGGTGGGGCCGTTTGGGGCCGCTAAGGGCGAGCGCGGGGAGCGAGTGGGGCCGTGAGGGACGAGCGCGGGGCCGACGTGGGTGCTAAGGGCGAGCGCGGGGCCGACGTGGGTGCTAAGGGCGAGCGCGGGGCCTATCGGGGCCGTGAGGGACGAGCGCGGGGCCGATCAGGGCCAGTAAGGACGAGCGCGGGGCCGACGCGGGCCTCTAGGGGTAAGCGCGGGGCCGATTCGGGGCCTCTAAAAGCGAGCGCGGGGCCGACCGAGGCCTCTAGGTGCGAGAGCGCGGGGCCGACGGGGCCTCTAGGGGCGTGAAAGCCGAGGCGCCCTAGGGCGCAGGTAGGTAGGTAGGTAGTGGTGGGCCCTAAAAAAAAATCGGTCCTAGGAAGGACCTGCTCTATACCATGTTGAACAAGAATGAATGAACTAAGAGTGAAAATGAGTACAAGTATCAAAACCTAGGAATGTGTACCCCCTATAGGCTAGCCCACTGTAGCCTAAACAACTACAACAACATATATAATGTTTGACATGCTGCCCACAGAAACTATCCAAGAACCAAGTGTCCTTTCCGGACGGCTCGCTTTGGGCGATGGCTGCATACATTGGATTCGGTTGAAGTGACTCGCGGCGAGGTGTACTGTTGTCGAGTTGCTCTTTCGGTGAGTAATGCGGCGGTGATTCGGTGATGCAGGAGTCGGTTAGTCTTGCCATGCAACTGATAATGTTTCTTGCTCCTTGCGCAGGTTGTCCCGTCGATGTTGTTGAGGCTTGCACTTGAATGGTAGGGTTTGCTTGTGTAGAAGCAACCTGACTGCTCGAGGTTCGAAGCTGCCGCTGCGTTGTTGTTGGGGCAGTGCGTGCGAGGGTGTCCTGACGTCTTGCAGATGTGACAGAACGGAGGTACTGGCTTTGGTTGTTGTCGGTTGTTGTTGTTGTTGTAGCGCCGCTGAGTGTGAAAGGCGAACTCAGATGTTGACGTCTTCCTCTTGTGTCTTTCTTCTTGTAGGTCCATGTCTTGCTGCTCGGCATGAATTTCGGTGTAGAGTGCTGCTTCGGAGATTCTTCCGTGAGATCGAAGAATAGCTCGAGTGGAGCGCCATTGAGGACCAAGTCCCGCGATGATGACCGTCACGAAAACGTCTTCGGATATTGTTCCTCCGCATCGAAGGAGCTTGTCGCGCAACTCGCGACAGCGACTGATATATGCCATCCCTTTTTTCGCCTGGTTTCATTTCCACTGTTGTCAATTGCACCTCCGACTCTGATTGACACTGTCTGTTGCTTGATACAGGCTCTTCAAGTGACTGTATGCGAGCTCGGCGGAGTTGCCGTATCCTCGGTAAGACCGTATATTATGCTGCTGATTCGGAGTGATGTTCCTCAGTAGAATCGTGTACGCCATCATTGACTGATACGTGTACTGCTGTTTGTCATACTGTGCGCCGTGTGTTGGGTATGCAGGGATCCGTCGAAGAAGCCAAAGATCTGCGCGCCTTCCATCATCAGCTCGAACTCGAATGACCATGTAAAGAAGTCCTTTCCGTCGAAAGGCCTTGACGTTTGCAGTTTTAAGACGTGCGCGAACTGCGACTGAACTTGAAGTGCGTCCAGTATCTTCTCTTGTCCAGGTGCAGGCTGCGGTTGTGGCATAAAGCTGATGGAGCCACGCTGGGGCTCGTACGGAGCAAAGGTAGGTTGCTGCTGTTGATTTCCACGTGCGTAGGATGAGCCGTGGAGGCTTATGGGCGTCACATTGTTGTTGTTGTTGTTGCTATTGTTTGACTGCGCAGGTGCCGACTGCTGGTGTTGCTCGTAGAAGGACATGAACAGGGCTTCAGATTCGTTTTGGGCCACCCTTAGTAATCAGGGTTCTAGGTATAGTCAACCCTGATGTGTGGGGTAAAAATTTTGTTTCCCTGACAAAAGCAGGGTAAAAACAAAGTTAGTCTGTTGGGCCAGGGAATTTTGGTTTTTAAATTGCAATATATAACACATAGTGCGTACGCATCAGCACTTAGTGGCTCAGTTTGTCCGATAGGGTATGGGATCCGAAAGACCGCAAGTTCGAGTCTAGCTATTAGCAGCATTTTGCAGGGGCAAGGTAGTGTTTAGTCACGCTTCGGAGCTTTCCGTAACAGTGTGGCTCAGATCGTATAGTGTACAGTCAGGGAAATGAATTACTTACGCTGTTTTTCAAAGGGTGAAAAAAAACTTACACTTTCTGGCCTAGGGTAAAAAATCCATTACCCTGCCTGTGAAAGGGTAACTGAAAAAAAGCGGCCGCCAGTCAGTGCAAAAAGGGTATTTTACCCTGATAACGAGAGCCCTGGACATGAAGGAGAAGAACTTCTCCATCATGTCTTGGTTGAAGTCTGCAGACTTATTCGCAGGAGTTTCAGTGGACCTTGCTGCTGGTCTTCTCGTCGTGCCCTGGTCTGTCTGTAGGCCAGAGGCAGGAGGTGGAGTAGGGGTAGTGCCGGGAGAACCATTAGAGGAACTCCTCTCCTTCTGAGTAGCCATGCCTTCTGATGTTGTAGGTGTCTTGATAGTGGAATTTGTCTTGACCGCTCTCATACCATGTTGGGCTGAAAAGGCCTTTAGGATCTTTACAGGACTAAACTCCTGGTAGGACTGATGTAATAGCGGAAGCGTTTAATGAAGAGTTGTGAACCACCTTGCGCTGGTATGTGAGGGCAAAGTAGATTGATTAAAACAAGGAGATACAAGATTATATAAGAGTACAAGGAATATGGAGAGATGCAGTTATAACTACTTTACTGTTGCTGTTGCGGTTCGATACGGTGACGACTCGGGCAACTGCTCTGTAACGAGTCAGTTGTGTGTCCTCGCTGTCGCGCTGTACTTGTCAGGTCAAAGGTCTCTGACCTTTGACTTTCGCATAACCTCCAGCAGTTACTTCAACCTCTGAGGGTTGACTCGCTGGTGCTTCGATATGTTTCGCTTCGCTTGTGTCTTGGTGTTTCGACACGACAGAGGTGCTTTAAGTTAGTTGTTTCCAACAGGAGGGAGCTAGAAGTGGAGGGATTTGAGGGCGCATACGAGATGGGACGACTTTTGAGACGTCTCAAAAGTCTTGGGGGGCTAGGTGCATCTGGGTATGGAGCTAGAGGTGCAGGGAGCTGAGGGCGAGTACGAGCTGGGATGGAGCTGCATACGAGCTGCATACGAGCTGGGCAGGGCAAGGTCAAGCTTTCTGACAGAACTGAAGCATGTTCATGTGTTGGCTGTGTTGGGGTGATGGGGCCTTTTTACCTGCTGATGTTTTTATGCTAGAATCTTAGTGTACCTGCAGGTTGATTTAACTCAGCAGTAGGCAGCACACACTAGCAGCAGCTGAGCATTAACACAAACAAACCACTTCTCGTTGTAAAAACCGTGTGTAATGAGTCTGCTTTTGAGTCAACTCAAAGGTAGCACGCTGCACACACTAGCAGTAGCTGAACACAAACACAAACAGTATAACACAGTGCATCAGTACCATATTTGGTATTGTCCAGCACCCATCAGTTGTCTATACCAGCACCCCGAGAACCAGCAGCACCACCAGAAGCACCACCGCCAGCAGCAGCCGCACCACCATCCCCAGCAGCACCATTGCCCCATCATTGCCCCATGCCCCCCATCTTCCCGCCGAGGATATTCGCAAACTCGGACGAGTTCATCTGCTTCATCAGGTTTTGCAGCCCGTTCAGCCCGCCCATCTGCTGCAGCATCTGCGGCGGCAGTGCCCTCGCCATCTGCGCCGCGTTCATGTTCCTCGCAGCCGCACCCATGTCGCCGCCCAAACCACCGCGCTTCCCTCCCCCGCCCATCATCTTGAGCCCCTTCATCTTGCTCCAGATCTTGTCCATCTTGCGGTATTCCTCCAGCAGCTCCTGCACCTCCAGGGGGTGCCGGCCCGAGCCTCTCGCTACGCGGATGATGCGCTTGGTGTCGTGAAACAACTTGGGGTTGGTGCTGTCCAGCTCTGGAAGGGTGACCGGGGGGGAGGGGGGAGAAGGGAGGAGGGGAGCGCAGGGCAAGCGCGCAGAGACAGGGGGTGTGGGGCATGGGGTATTGGAAAAAGGGATGGGAGCACACAGGGGAGTGCAACGGGCCCACGGCCACTGAAGCCTATCATGTTCATCATCTTGAGCCCCTTCATCTTGCTCCAGATCTTGTCCATCTTGCGGTATTCCTCCAGCAGCTCCTGCACTTCTAGCGGGTGCCGCCCTGAGCCCCACGCTACGCGGATGATGCGCTTGGTGTCGTGAAACAGCTTCGGGTTCGTGCTGTCCAGCTCTGGAGGGGGGAAGGGGAGAGGAAGGGAAGGGAGAGGAGGGGAGGAGAGAGGAAGGGAAGGGAGAGCAGGGAGGAGAGAGGAAAGGAGCACAGAGGAAGGGAGCACAGAGTAAGTGCGAGAAAACAGGGGCTGTGGGGCGTAGGATATTGGAAGCTGTACCGACTTTTCAAGGCACCCTCCTCACTCGTCTCACAGAATCGTCCCATCACCCCTTCCTCCCCCCCACCTCCCACCCACGCACCGTGCTCGGTCATGGGAGTTCATGATGCTCATCAATCATTGAGGTGCCTCAAAAATCACCGTGCTCGGTCATGGGAGTTCATGATGCTCATCAACTTCTTCAGCCGTGCCGACTTTTCAACCCACCTTCCTCAACTGTCTCATCGAATCGAAACATCAAATTGTCTCATCCACCCCTTCCCCCGCCCTCCCCCTCCCCCTCCCCCTCTCCCACCCACCGTGGTCAGTCATGGAGTCCATGATCATCCTAAACTTCTTGAGCCACGCTGCATATTACAGGCACCTAACTCATTCATCTCATCAAATCGTTGCATTCATCTCTTCAAATCGTTGCATTCATCTCTTCAAATCGTTGCATTCATCTCTTCCCTCCCCTCGCTTCGTTCCCCTCTCCTACCCACCGTGGTCAGTCATGGAGTCCATGATCGTCATGAACTTCTTGAGCCGCGCTGTGCTCTCCTTCTCCCGCCCCTTGGGCATCAGCTCCTGGGTGAACCCTGGGATCATCGACATCACCTGATTGCAAGAAGAGGGAGAGGGGGGAGAGGGTCGGGGGAGGGAATGGAGGGATGAATGAGGGGGAGGTGAGACCTGGTGCACGGAATTCAACGCTGCTTCTTCCGCCCCTTGAGCATCAGCTCCTGGGTGAACCCTGGACATCACCTGCTCGCATCGCATGTGCGCGCACAGGGAATGGGGAAAGGGTCGGCGGAGGAACAGAGGGATGTGGGGGTGGGGGTGTAGACAGACATGAACGGGAATGAGAGACCTGTTGCACAGTAGGAACCCCCCCCTTGAGGGGAAGGGGTCTCACCTGCTCGGGAAATGAAACACTCCTGGAATCGTCTCTCTCACCTGTCCGAGCGGCCCCAGCTTGAGGATGTTTTGGAACTGCTCGTACATGATGCGCAGCGTGCCACAGAGCAAGCCCAGCTCTCAACCCTCAAGCACCCTTCCTCCCCTCCCCCTCCCCCTCTCCTCTCTCCTACCGGCCCACACTCACCTGTCCGAGTGGGCCCAGCTTGAGGATGTTTTGGAACTGCTCGTACATGATGCGCAGAGTGAAGTGCCCCTCCTGCAGCTTCTGCAGCAGCTCCGGCTGCTGGTCCATGGGGATCACGTCCTGAATGCGATCCATGAACCCCGTCCAGTCGCCCATGCCTGCCGATACCAAGGGAGGAGGCGGAGAGGGGGTGGGGGGAGGGGCGGAGAAAGAAGCAAGGGGGCCCACAGGGGGGGAATAGGTGGCACCGGGAGGAAGGAAGAGGGGGGGCACATTAGCACAGCGTGCACAGGAGATGGTGAACGAGTCGGCTCAACAGCAGCTTCTGCAGCAGCTCGGGCTGCTGGTCCATGGGGATCACGTCCTGTCTGCGATCCATGAACCCCGTCCAGTCTCCCATGCCTGCCCGTACCCGTGGGGGGAAGCGGGGGAGGGGAGTATTGGGGAGAGGGAGGGGGGTGTTGGTAGGGAGGGGGGGGTGTTGAGGGGGGAGGGGGCGAAGGGTACACACAGGCAGCACCCGGGGTGGGCGAGACATAAGTGGGCTCGAAACCCATACACTGAAAGTTCAAATTCGTTTCCTGAAAAACTCCTCCTACACACTCGCATCTTCCCCCCTTTTTCCCCCTCTCCCCCCTCCCCCCTCCCCCCTCCCCCTTTCCCCATCCATCACCCATTCCGCTTTTCCCCATCCACTCCTACCCTCCTTCCCCCACCACTCCCTGCGTACCCAGCAGTCTGCTGACAAAGGCCTTGGTTTCGAACTGCTCAAACTCGTCTATGTGCTCTCCTGTACCGATGAAGATCACTGGCGATTTGGTGGCCGCCACACTGGGAGGGAGTGGGGGAGGAAGGAGAAAAGGTGGGGAGGGAAAAAGGGAGGGGGGGGGGGGGAGGGGGAAGGGAAAACTCGTACGGTTTCTCGTGCGCGCAAATTAAAGATTTCTTACAACCCTCAAACATGTGACACTGTAAAGATGTGACCTTTGAGTCACATCAGACGACAGCCATGCAGGATTCACAAGAGCTCATTCATGCGCTGAGGCTGTTAGGAAGAGCACACTCACGCGCTGAGGGCGCCACCACCCTTGGCGTGCCCGTCCATCTTGGTGATGATGACCGCCCCCACGGGCACGCTCGCCTTGAACGCCTGCGCCTGGTCGTACGCCGCCTGGCCTATGCTGCTGTCCATCACGAAGAGCACCAGGTCGGGGTTCTGTGGCATGTGGGGGAAGGGGGAGGGAGGAGAAGGTAATGGGAAGGTAGATAAAGTGAGGAGATAGGGTCAGGCTGTAAGGAAAATCACGCAGAAAAGAAAAACGAACAGATGCAGCCCAGTACACAAATGACAACCAATACACATACACACATAACATAAGCAGTACATGCATAGGGTCGCGCATAACAGAAGCAGTACATGCATATATACATATGAGGAACATAAAAATTTGCAGGCGAATGTACAGGGCGGGAGGAAGCCTGACCGTGAGCTCGGAGCCTTGGCGCATCTCCTCAAAGAGCGAGTGGAGGAAGGAAACCGGGTAGGGGTACATACATCATACATGGATATGTATGCATATACATAAGCTAGTTCACCAGGTGGGTGGGAGGGATGGCGGGGGCATCACCGTGAGCTCGGACACTTGGCGCATCTCCTCAAAGAGCGAGGCCTCCTGCTTGTGGCGACCACTGGTGTCGATGATGATCAGGTCGCACCCCTCCTTCTTCATGATCGCCACGCCCTCCTGCGCAATCTTCGCCGGATCCGTCTCCGTGTAGCTGGCGGTGGTGGTGCAGCGATGAGGGTCGGCACAGGAAAGTGGGAGGGAATGGGGGAGGGAGCAATGGGTAAGGAGAGTGGATAGGGAAGGCACCCCTCCTTTTTCATTATTGCCACGGCCTCCTGGGCTATCTTCGCCGGATCCGTCTCCGTGTAGCTGAGGACGGTGCAGCGACGAGGGGGAGGGAGGGACGGAGGGAGAAGGGAAGAAATAGCAAAAAAGAAGCGTGAGAAAGAGAAAGAGCTCTTCATGATCGCCACGCCCTCCTGGGCTATCTAGGCTGGATCCATCTCGGTGTAACTGACAACAGTGCAGCAGTGGAGTGAAGCAATGAGGTGGGAGGGGGGAGAGGGGACGAAGGGACAGAAATCCAACCACCCACACACCCACCATGCACCCACCCACACACCCACCCACCCATGCATCGCAGTACGCACGCACCTGCCATAGAATGGATCTTGGCCTTGGTGGCGTTCTGCTTGAGCTCCGAATCAACTCGTCAACACACCGCGACAACATACCCCACCCATTCCCCAACCCCCCCACCCTGCACACACGCACCTGCCATAGAAGGGGATCTTGGCCTTGGTGGCGTTCTGCTTGAGCTGGTCGAAGGCACCTGCGCGGAAGGTATCCGCGCAGATGAGCGCGGGCTTCCACCCCTTGCGCTGGTAGAAGTGCGCGTACTTGCCACACGTCGTTGTCTTTCCCGACCCTGGGGAGAAACGGTGGCGTTGTGACGGGGGAAGGGAGGGAGAGAGGTGGGGAGAGAGGGGGCGGAAGGACAAGGGAACGCAGGCATGGACAGAGGGAGGGAAAAGAGACAGAGAGAGACCGAAGGCGAGAGGAAGGAAGGAAACGCGCAGATAAGCGCGGGCTTCCACCCCTTGCGCTGGTAGAAGTGCGCGTACTTGCCACACGTCGTTGTCTTTCCCGACCCTGAGGGGGGTTGACGCGAGAGGAAGCGAGGGGGAGAGGGGGGAAGGAGGGGGGCGATGGGGAGAGGGAAGGAAGGAGAAGGGGAGGGAGAGGGGAGATATGGGGAGGGAGAGAGGGGGAAAGAAGGGGAGAGAGGGAGAGAGATGGGGAGAGAGAGGGGGAGAGAGAGAGGGAGAGAGAGGACGAGAGGGGGAGAGAAGGACGGAGGAGAAGGAGAAGGACGGGGAAGGAAGAGTGGAAGGAGCACTGGAGAAGCAAGAGACGGAGGGAGCGAGGCAAGGAGGAGGGAGCGAGCGAGGGAGGGAGGAGGGGCAGACGGACCTTGCAGGCCGACGAACATGATGATGTTGGGCTTGCCCTTCTTGGGCTGGTACGGCGTCGTGTTGGGGTCCAGCATGTTGCACAGCTCGTTGAATATCGCCTGCCGCAGCACACAACGATGCCCCCAGAAAATGTGAATGCACGGGACGCGGGGAACAGGGAGAAGGGAGTGGGGGGAAGGGGGAAGGAAGACGGGAGAACTTTGAGTCGACTTAGGATACAGCAGCAGCAGCAGCAGCAGCAGCAGCAGCAGCAGCAGCAGCAGCAGCAGCAGCAGCAGCAGCAGCAGCAGCAACAACAACAACCCTAAGCGACCTCCGCTTGTTATGCCCTGCCGAGAGCTCCTCGAGGCTGACGGCACGTCGGCATCTGCGTCGACTCAAACACCCAGCAGCAGCTACAACAGCGGCAGCGGTGACAGCAGTGGCAACCCCAACACGCACCTTTTCAATGATGATTCGCTTGTTATGCCCGACCGCGAGCTCCTCGAGATTGACGATGCGCTTGATGTTCTGCTGCAGGCCCATGACCATCTTAAACGACACGTCGGCCCCTGACCCGAGCTAACAACACAGCCACAGCAGCAGCAGCAGCAGCAGCAGCAGCAGCAGCAGCAGCAGCAGCAGCAGCAGCAGCAACAACAACCCTAAGCGACCTCCGCTTGTTATGCCCTGCCGAGAGCTCCTCGAGGCTGACGGCACGTCGGCATCTGAGTCGACTCAAACACCCAGCAGCAGCTACAACAGCGGCAGCGGTGACAGCAGTGGCAACCCCAACACGCACCTTTTCAATGATGATTCGCTTGTTATGCCCGACCGCGAGCTCCTCGAGATTGACGATGCGCTTGATGTTCTGCTGCAGGCCCATGACCATCTTAAACGACACGTCGGCCCCTGACCCGAGCTAACAACACAGCCACAGCAGCAGCAGCAGCAGCAGCAGCAGCAGCAGCAGCAGCAGCAGCAGCAGCAGCAGCAGCAGCAGCAGCAACTGCAACCCCAACACCCACCTTCTCAATGATGATTCGCTTGTTATGCCCCGCAGCCAGCTCCTCGAGATTGACGATGCGCTTGATGTTCTGCTGCAGGCCCATGACCATCTTAAACGACACGTCGGCCTGCAGCAGCGCGCGCGTGATCTCGTTGAGGCACTCGTTGAGCGCCTTCTCGTCGATCACCGTCACGCGGTTCATCGCCTGGATGGCGCGCGATATGCGCCCACCCAGCTCCGCGAGCACCATCTTGGCGGACGGATTCGCGCGGGGGGGAAACCCGAAAAGGGGAGGGCTGGGGAGAAGACGGCGACGGCGACGGCGACGGCGACGGTGACGCCGACGATTACGACGACGCGCGAGACAACGATGAGGGGTGCGAAAACGACGGGGGTTGTGAGGCCAATAAGAGGGAGATTGACCGGAAGAGTACGTAGGGAATAGAGGGCCGGGGGGTTGGGAGTGAAGCGGACTCTAGATTTAGTGACGAGTGAATCGCGACACAGGAATGGGATTACGATGGTGGTAAAACGGGACCGACGAGCGACCGCGAGGGAGAAAGAGATACAGGGAAAAAACGAGCGGGATTAGCTTGTTAGACGGATGATGGTCAGGCGGAGGGATTTTCGCGAATAAAGATGCTTTCGCGAAAGATTTAGTGGCCTAACTAGAGACGGTTCAAGAATCCACGTGACGACGTGGCAGAGGGACTAGCAAGGAATTAGGGAAGGTTTGCCAGTAGAGGGATTCGGGAGTGTTTGATGAGAAGCAAGAGGTTCATTTGGGCTAATGTTATTAACAAAACATTTCGGTTCGTTCTTCCTCGGTTCCTGACAGAACTGCAGGCTTTATCTGTTCAGCAGTTCGCCAGTCGGAGGGAAACACTGACCTTTTCGGTTTCGAAAATGGCTCAATCGGGCGGTGGTGTAGCTAGGAAACGTAGTGTGTTACGAGTGCAATTGAGTGAACGAACGAGAATTGCACTATCGAAGTACAATGAGCGAAGGCATTAACGAAGGATTATATAGCGAAACAATAGTGGTAATGGTAATGGACTGTGGTTGTCGCGCGACGAGCCTGGGACTGAGGTTGGGAAAGTGTCGAAGCGTAGGCCCGGAGCGCGGGTTACCAGCCGAGCCGTGAGGTCGGGATGCGATGTGCGAAAAGGGCGGGATAATGAATGATGCGATGGTCGCGAGTGGTAACGGTGCTGACTGAGGTGCTACATTGACGTACGCGTTGAGCAGGGACGCGAAGTAAGGAAAAGGGAATTTCCTTACACTACCCCCCTCCCCAAGAAGGCCCCTCTTACGAGAGCGCATGGACGTCGCGGAAATTTCGGCTTCGCAGATACTCGGGGAAGACAGGGTGGTTCTCAATTTTATCCAGGGGGGCCCAGTTGTCTTCTGTGGGCGTTCGGTCCTTCCAGCGAATTAGGAACTCGATCCTTCGGGCTCCCCGAGGGTCGCGGACTCGGTGGCTGAGGATTTTTTCAGGGGTGATGAGTGGTTCGGTTGGGGGACGTGTCATGCTGGCTGGGCGATTTCGTGGCAGTTGGCTCGTGGATGGGATGTAAGGGCGAAGTAGGCTGACGTGGAATGACGGGCTGACGTACCAGTCAGCAGGGAGGAGGAGGTGGGCGGTGACGGGTGTGATCATGTGGCTGATGCGAAATGGCCCACAATATCGGGGGCGAAGTTTTGGAGTGATGGGCAGGCGAAGATTCTGAGTGTCGAGTAACACGAGGTCGTCGGGCTGATAAGTAACGGGTCTGCGATGTCGATCGGCGTTACGTTTAGCGATGATGTTTGATTTTTTGATTGCTTCTGCTGCCCTGGTCCGTGCTGCTTGCAGAATCTCGGCGAACTGTTGTGCTCGTGGGACGGGGTTGTCGGGATTCGGTGTCATGGGTACTGTTGGGTCCTGTCCGTAATTCAAATAAAACGGCGACTGTTGCGTCGTGGCTGATGGTGCGTTATTGTATGCGAACTCGATGAGTGGCAGCTGCTGTTCCCACGTATTCGGGTCGTCGCACGTGGCTCGAATCAGCTGCTCCATGGTCTGATTTGTCCGTTCCGTCTGTCCGTCGGTTTCGGGGTGATAGGATGAACTGAACTGTAAGCGCGTGCCGAACTGCTGCCACAGGTTCCGCCAGAAGTTGCTGGTAAATTTCGTGTACCTGTCGCTGATGATCGACGCGGGTATCCCGTGCAGTCGTACGACGGTGGAGATGAAGAGTCGGGCGGTTTCTTCGGCTGTGATGGATTTCCTGCATGATGCGAAATGAGCCATTTTCGTTAGTCGATCGACGACGACCAGGATCGCGTCATTCCCACTCGCCCCTGCTGGTAACCCCGTGACGAAGTCCATCGTCACCTGCTGCCAAGCACGCTCTGGAGGCGGGATGGGTTGTAATTGCCCCGCTGGTCACTTCCTGCTTGACTTCATGAGCTGGCAAGTGGGACACGATGCCACGTGTCGTTGCACATCGGTCAACATTTCTGGCCAGTAGTAGTACCGCTGCAGCTGCTGCCGTGTTTTTTCTACCCCGAAATGTCCCGCGGTAACTCCGTCGTGTGCTTCCTGTAACAGTAGTTCCCGCAGTAGCATGTATCCCGGTACCCAGATGCGGTCGGTTCCAGTTTTTACGTAATAGACTCCTTTTGCCGCTGCGAATTGCTGTGAGTTGCCTCCTGTAAAGAACGGGTCTGTTTGATATCCGTGGGTAAATAGGCCTGTCAGCAGTGGGCTGGTCTGGGCGAGTAGTATCGCGTGGATCTGGGCAGTGGGGCGGGTCAGTGCGTCGGCGATATTCGATGCTCCTTTTTTGTATGTGACCGTATAGTGAAAATTCGACTCGAGGAAATCGAGCCATCGAATCTGTCGTGGGTTGAGGTGGGGCTGTGCGCGGAGGTACTGTAGAGATCGGTGGTCTGTCCGTACTGTCACGTCTGCGCCGGTCAAGTAGCAGCGCCAAACTTTGAATGCATGCACGATCACGAGCATTTCGCGGTCGTGTATCGGGTAATTTCGCTCAGGCGGATGTAGTTTGCGTGATTCGTAGGCGATGGGTTGGAGGCCGTTGCCGAAGTCCTGTAACAGTACAGCTCCGATGGCGATGTCACTTGCGTCGGTAACCACTTCGAAAGGGCGGTGGGGATCAGCGATACGTAGAACGGGTGGTGAACAGAGAACGTTTTTTAGGGCAGAGAAGGCAGCATGCTCTTTCTCCCCCCACGTAAAAGTGACCCCCTTACGCAGTAAATCAGTTAGTGGGGCTGTTAAACGTGCCATGTCGGGCACGAACCGTCGAACGTAATTAACAAACCCTAAAAAACTCTGCAGTTCCGTGATGTTCGTCGGGGGGCGCCACGCTTTTACCGTATCCAGCTTCTTTGGGTCAATCTCAACCCCAGCCTCTGAAATGACGTGACCTAAAAACTCTAGCCTATCCCTAAAAAACTCGCACTTGGAGCCCTTGGTGAGCAGCCGATGTTCCTCTAAAACCTTAAGAACTGCTTCAAGATCTGCTAAGTGTTGCTGCTTATCCCGACTGTAAACGAGGATATCGTCGAGGTAAACGATCACGCATTTATCTAAAAGTGGCCTAAACGCCTCGTTCATGGTCATCTGAAAAGTCGCAGGCGCGTTCGTCAACCCGAAGGGCATTACAGTATACTCGAATGACCCGTACCTAGTCCTAAATGCTGTTTTTGCGCAGTCCGATGGTTCTACCCGAATCTGATGGTAACCTATCTATTTTCGAAAAGACACGTGCTGTTCGTAGTTGGTCAATCAGTTCGTCGGCGCGGGGGATGGGGTATCGCGATTTGACTGTTACCCTGTTAAGCGCTCGGCAGTCGATGCACATGCGAAAACCTCCGTCTTTTTTCGGTGTGAACAGTATGGGTGCGGCGAACGGTGACGAGCTTGGTCGAATAAACTGCTTCTCTAACAGGTAATCTAACTGCTTCCTTAACTCGTCGAGCTCGGGCTGTGTCAGTCGAAATTGCCGCTGTACTGTTGGCTGTGCCCCCGGTTCTAACTCGATCCTATGGTCGTGCGCTCGCTGAGGTGGCAGTCCCTGTGGTAAATCATCCGGAAATATCCCCGGGAACCGTTTCAGTAGTGCCTGTAATTCGGTCGGTACGGCTGCTAGTAGTTTCTTTAAATCACTCTGGTGCTCGTCTTTTTCTACCACTGCGATATCCACTGCGTACACGTCAGCTCCAGCAGCGACAGCCCGTTTCATTGTGATGGCGTTGACCTGGACTGTCAAAGATTCGGGTGGCCGCCAGCGAGGTAGGACGACCCAGTTACCGCTACTTCGCACTGTGCAGCTCCCCGTCGTCCAGTCGATCCGTGGGTTGTACCGTCGCAGCCAATCACGTCCCAGTAAAATGTCGTGCCCATCCAGCGTCGTTGCGAGCATTTCCTGTGTAAACCCGAAGTTTCCCCCGCAGCGGACTTTTACTCGCTCCACTTTTTCTCGTATGGCCAATGTCAAGAATAATATATATTTCTATATATTGTTTTGTAACTGCCTGTAGTGTAGACTAGTGTAGTTATATAATGTTCTGTTTTGGTGGTGCACCTTTCATCTTGCCTATATGTACTGCTCGCTCTATAGTGAAAACCCTTGTTCTCTTTTCAATTCTCTCGACTCTACTCAAATTACTCGAACTCAACTAGCTATGGCTCCTTTAGCCTAGCTAAGATTTTGATAGCCAATGGCGTGCCGTCGACTAAGCGTGCATCTATCTCAGGTAAACATCGGTTAAGTATTAACTGTAATTTCCGTGCGGTTGCAGTATTAACTAAGCTGTGACTTGCTCCTCCGTCAATGAAGATTTTCACTGCTGCTCCCTGTATTTTCCCGTAGATCAGTACCGGGCAATCCGTCGCTGTACCCTCCTTATTCATCCGAGCCCGATCGATGGCGTGAATCGGTACTGTGACTCGGTGAGGGTCGGTGTGGTTGGGCAAGCAGGCAGTCTCGTCAGTAGTTGGCCCAACTTCTACTGACTGCTGTCGTTTCCCTGCCTCTGAGACTCCCTCCCCTGCTCTGCTCCTCGACGCCTCAGCTCCTCTGGACATTCGCTCTTGCGATGGCCCGGCCGGTTGCAAGCAAAGCAGCGCCCTCTAAATGGCGTGGCAGCTGCATTCGTTGCGACGGCATGTACAGTGGCGTGCTCGATCGGTCCCCGAGGGCGATGTCCGAAATAGGACCCCGGTCTCGGTCGGCGTAG